AGGCGCAGTCTAGAAACTTTTCGATCGCACCTCGTACGTTATTATTACAGAAGTAAATCTCCCATAGCTTAGAATTATGATAAAAGCCGAATACTGCTGAAATCGATAGTTAATTATCCGATATTGATTTAAACTGTTAATCAGTTTGAGATTCGCATCTGCATTTTATGACGCACTACATCAGTAAGTACCTCTGCCACACACAAATGCAACATTTACTGATGCGTAAACTACTAGCGATTACACTCAGCTAGGGATGAAGGTTTGGATGGAATGAGAAGAGGCAAATGGGATGATAACAGAGAGGGGCGGATAGACAGAGAAAGGTTAATTGTGTAATGTTTCGAATTTCATTCCGTCAAATTGTTACCGGCAATTATGTTCATTCGACAAAGGCCCTTTTATCACATAAATTCAAGGTAGTGTAAGTACGGAATCTCTCAATTAAACTACAGAAAGACTGGAAGCCCGGAAACTACTGTAGTCACTCGGTTCATCCCGGCGATACACAAATGAACATCAGTGATGAAACATAGTGAACAGTTAAATAAAAAAACGCGTTGCGCAGTCTCGCGACCTCTCGTGTTAAAGTTCACAGTTTACAGGTCCTGTCTGACGTTTCACGCTTCACAGTTAGAGGCAAATCACGGATGATGATTAGACTGTCAATTTGCGAGCCTCAGTGCTAATGCCCTGGGTACAGTTTCTAGTCAAACGCCAGGGTACTGCTTTCGCCAGCTATCTTTTTTCCCACTTACTGTCCGTTTATTTAAAGACAGTGTTAATATATCAGACCACCTGGCTGAATGCTGGGATGATTTGAAATGAATATGAAAAAGAAGTGTTCGTAGCCAACTTTAGGGCACTGTTCCAGAATTTGCCTAAAGTCGTCGAGGAAAACCACGAAAACCTCAGGATAGCCTGTCTCCGGACCGAGATTTGATCACGAAACCTCTTGAAAAAGAATCAGAGATGCTAACTATTCTATCTCTGCCTTTAGCTGTTACTTAGTCTATTTTGAAAATTTTGATCACCCAAATTAATTTTTAAGAAATAACATTAGTCCGTATTTTCGTATTTTGAAGCTTCGTGTAAAGATGTGTAAAATTAATGACATCTGAGTCGTTTAAATAGATTGTTATTTATGAATTATACGGAAACGGTCCAACAAAGATTCGGGTAGTAATTATTGTGGGCCTGTCTTCAAGAATAAAAAGTTAAAACATGAAATACTAATAAAGTTGAGCATATTTCATGAAACTCCACTCTTTATAGTAGCGGCTGTACTTGATCGTTATATCCTTCATGTGCGATGATGCCCAGTTGTTGCTTTGAAAGGTCAGAAAAATTATTACTGTTCATTTGTTTGAGGTGGGGTAAAGAAGGAAGGGGTGTATCAACAGAGATTATATGAGTTCACATAACCAATAAAGTCTATTCGAGGAATCGCTGAAAGTGGCCGCTGTGATTACCAGTCTTCTCTTAATTAAATTCAATTAGCTTTTAAACAGATGCCGCTTTGGAGGGGTGACTTCAAACGCGCGGCTTTGGTTGAGTTGAGTGAACCGGTTTGAGGGAGGTCGGTGGTGTTAGGGAGGTCAAAGGGGCACGCCAACTGCGACGACATAAAGGGATAATGCCGTTCAAATTCATGTTGTCCTGAGTCTGTCGGTCAAAGTTCTACGTAGTATTTTGGTAATGAGCGGAGAAGTTTAATTGAGTCGGTTGATGGTAAAAACAGCATTAGGTTAAAACATCACCTACAGAAAATCGGCAAACTTCTTCCAGACTACACGA